ATAATGAAACCTGGACGTTATACGTACAAATTTGATCAAGGTAACTATAATATGTGCCGTACGTACCCTGAAATCTATAGCTGTGTTCCCTGAATCCAATTATTTCCCGAAACCGTGTGGGCGCGCGCGCGCGTGCGTGCGTGCGTGCGTGCGTGTGTGTGTGTGTGTGTGTGTGTGCGCGCGCGCGTGCATGCGTGCGTGCATCCGTGCGTGCGTGGGCGTGTGCAACAGATCCCGTACAATAATTGGAACGAGAGAGTGAGGTGGGCCAAAAGTGTAAGAGCTGTAGATGACGAGTTCATTGTGTAGGCGAAGTAAGGAGGAAGGTTATAGTCATGCAGAGAATCAGTCAGAGCATTTATGGTGAGTTTGATAAGGTGGACAAGTGGTAATAGATGAGTGAGCTATAGTGAAGGAGTTGTTGGTGCAACTAGAGGCAAAGAACGCTAGCAGAACAGTGGAGTTGGCTTTTCCAAATCCTTCTCTTCATTCTCTTGAGCATGGAGCTTTGTATGTGAAGAGAACTGAATGCTAGGGCCTGTTTGCAACATGTAAATGTGAATATGATTTGTATGTGAACATATACAATTTCACGCAGCTCTGATCCCCTCTGATCATTATTGCCACTCGCTCATACGGTGCAGGCCATATAGTTATACATAACAGCATACTGGTGAATTGCGATCATATACTATATCATATACCGGAATACATGCTGAATATATGTATCTCAATATCCTAAATCCTTCGTGATCAGATTTTTTGTCTTCTGTTGCGTTGTTTTGAGCTTTATCAACAATTTTTCGGCAATCCAGAGGCCGAGCGAAAGACGTTTGCGGGTCAAAGCTCTTCCCTAAGATAGTGGACGTTTCATTCTCACGTGGACATGTTAAATCGAGCGGGTTCCGGTGTAATGGTCAAACTCACAACATGGTTAGAAAAAGAAAAAAAACTGTTTTTCAGTACTCAAGAACGATGGGTTTGGAGATGAGAAATTTTTCAACTGCATCGTTGCTGAAAGTCTAGATAATGAAGGTAGGTTTTCATGACATGTCACATGGAGGCACAAAACTAGTTACTGTTAAATAAATTTACCTGCTATTCATAACAGGTGATATAGGTATGGGTATTACATAATCGAGGTATAAATTTGTCATTACTACAATATCATGAGGAATTATTCTTGTAATAATATGATAAAAAAATATTTGAGCTAAATGGCAGGCAAGCTAAACAAATAACGATGTTATTTCATAATTATGAACTTGGAAGTCCTTCTTGTGACTTTATAGAGCAATCAACGCTGGTTGGTTACTGCTTGTATTTCTATGGCTACTCAACATTTGAGGGAAAGCACTTATACATGGAGGACATATATGTACATCCAGGCCATAGGGGAAAGGGCTGTGGAAGTCGCATGTTACAGCAGCTTGCACAGGTACGTTGGTTTCCATCTGTAAAATTGATTGTGACCAAAACATGCATGCTTTCATTAAACTGGAAGATCATTGTGCGTTAAAAGAATTTGTGAACAATATTTTTGTATTTAAAAAGTAAATATAGATTAGCAATTCGCTCTATCCATTTCTGGTGGTTTCCTTAATTACATTTGATAGACATTTGCTGATAATGGAAGCTAATGTGTGTATATATATTTAATGATATTTCTCCTGAAGAGCGCTCTCTCCACATTTGAAAAAATAGGACCCGATAGAGACTTGTAATACAAACAAACACTGGTGCATGTCCGGCCAGGACGACACTTTAATTTCTATAAATTATGTCAGTCCATCCTAGAAAGCATTGAGACAACTGAGCGCGTGCCATTTCTTCAGGTTGCGGTGACTACCAACTGCTGTAAGATCCAGTTTGTGGTGCTAAACTGGAATGATCAAGCTCTGAAATTCTACGAGAAGATTGGAGCTGTTGACTTGACAGCTGCGGAGGGCTGGCACCTATGTAGAATATCGAGAGCAAACTCCGAAAAGCTAGCAGCAAGAATTCCTTTGCATCGAGGATGCTAAAGATTAATGACTCTAGATTTCTGTAGATGTGCTATAGATAAAATATTCCTTCAAACAAATGCTTTATTATACAAAGTATTTATTAGTACATGTATTATGTCAGTAAAACGTTGAAGATTTTTTCCAACAATTGACATAAAACTGCTCATGATATTCACAACAGATGTAATAAATATTCTGCATGATGTCACGTAATATCAACTTACTCGATAAAGCTAAATTGTCTCAATGTACAAGAAAACATTTCAAAATTGTACTCAGTAATAAACCATCATGTCCTACGTAGTTCATAATAATCGCTTTACATTTTATGGCAGTCCTGTACAAAGACAGTTAATATGGATCTTGATACACCAGCTTTATTACACAATTGAATATATGCCATATTTCTATCATACCCCAGTGGAAATAACCCTCAGTAGTAGCTATCCAAGTCATTATTATATAAGCTTGCGAGCTCCCCAGCCATAGAAAGAAATGCAGGTTAATTTTCAACAAAGATCAAGGAATAGGAGCTCGCTACTCCTGTGGGGCGTGCATATGAGTCTGCCATCAACGACAAACCCTCAACAATCAACGACAAACGATGACGATCAATTCATTGCAATCGTACCTGTTAAACATGATCTTGGTTACCTCCGCTCCCCCCTATTTTTACATCGAGATTAACATGATCTATTGAACATGACGTTCATGCCTTTCCTCTTTTCCCTCCCCTTCACTTTTTTCTGCCCCACCTCCTTTGTTCCTTCCCCCTTTTCTTTTTTTTACAGCTTGACAATAAAACATGCCAATCGGGCACGTCGTAACGGCGACACGCATGCCGCTAGACCTCGCTACCAATCACATGTCCTGCAGTATGTCGGCCTCAAGGTCGTTAATGGCGACCTACCCCCTGACCTTCGACATTTGACCTCGCGGCCAATCACGTCATGCAGTATGTCGGCGGGTATGCCTCCCTCAAGGTCGTTAATGGCGACCTGCCCCCCGACCTTTGACCTCAGTCAATCACATGTCCTGCAGTATGTTGGTGGGTATGCCGCCCTCCAGGTCGCCATCAACCTGCCCCCTGACCTTTGACCTCGGTCAATCACATGTCCTGCAGTATGTCGGCAGACATGCCTTCCTCAAGGTTGTTAACGGTGACCTCCGACCTTTGGCCTCACAGCCAATCACATGTCCTGCAGTATGTCGGTGGGTATGCCACCCTCAAGGTCATTAACGGCAACCTTCGACCTTTGACCTCGTGGCCAATCACGTCCTGCAGTACGTCGGCGGGTATACCGCCCTCATGGTCGCCGTCAACCTGCCCACCGACCTTCGACCTCACGGGTTTGCCATCCTCAAGGTGATTAACGGCGGCCTTTGACCTCGCGGCCAATCACATGTCCTGCAGTATGTCGGCGGGTATGCCGCCGTCAAGGTCACCGTCGA